GTTGTCTTTGCACAAATAAAACTTGTATTTCCTTTGTAACTTTATTGGTGTCACAAGGGGACTGACAATCCCTCTATGTGATAATATAGTGCAGGTGACAGGTTCTCTTTAGGAAGACATCAGGAGTCTGTTAGACCCCCAATGTCACCTCTGCACTCTGTTGAAACTGATTGAGCAGAGACTGGGCTTGATCGTCTTCTTTCCCGGGCCAGAGCAGCCAGAGATTGAAAGAGCTGAACCCGGAAGTGCTCAGAGACGAGCGCTTCTGGGTTCATTGTTCACAGGATGGAAGTTCGCTGATTTCCCGCTGCTCTCTATCCTGGCACCCACCATGGGGGTCCCAGGCATCCAGTAGGGACATGTAATTCTGGGCATGAGGGTCAGGTGGGGGCGCGGGGGACATGCAGGGGGATGGAGTAAAGCTGCCCAGATCACTTCTACTACATAGCAGGCAGCCAGGAGGGAAATGGTAATACAACATCATTGATTACTAGGACGCAGGCGGCCCTGCGTTCAGTTCACTTGGGCATTTGCCGAAACCCGATTTTCTGGCTGGGTCCAGAGGACATCCAAGCGACCCGAAACCGGTCCAGTTCACCCATCACTGGGCATGATCCGTCTCTCAAAATGTCAGCAAAGTGATGAGTCTCAGTTTGCTCATCCCCAGTAATGAGCACCACGCTTTCCACAGGGCCGGATTTACTCTCCCTGCTGCCCCAAGGCCAGCTTCCGCAATGCGCCCCCCTCCCCCTTCCCCTCAATGGAGAATGGCAACCAGACGACAGGGGCGGCTGTTTTTTTTTTATTGTTTCTTTATTTGTTGACTTTTTTTTAATCACTTTTTTTATTTTAACTTTTTTTTAACATTTCCGGTTCCGCCCCTCTGCGCCCTGTCGCCCCGAGGCCTGGCCTCCGTGGCCCTGTGGGGAATCCTGGCCTGACTGTCCATTCATCATGGAGTGGAATCTCGTTAATGTTTCTTTGTATCCAGATCGGTGAAGAAAGAAGGCCGAAAAATCATTCTGTCCCTGGACGTCGGCTTCCGCGTCATCGTTTTACTGAAGAAGAACCCCGACCGCTTGAAGCTGCATGTGGAGAACAAGAAGCAGGACTCGGACTTCCTGGGACTGATCGGTACGGACCGAACCTTCCGCAGGATCTCTGCCCCGGGGAAACCTCACCGAAGATCTTATTCTTTCCCTTTGTTTTTTTGTTTCCAGGTCAGATGATGACAGAAGAGAACGTCCTCGTAGAAGCCGATCGGATGACTCTTCTTGGTGAAAGCTATCCTGCCGAAAGGTGAGGATCGGAAACGATCGGCTGAAAGGGCAACTGAGCCCAAAGTTTGACTACGAACTCGAACTCAATGCAAGTGAATGGAGGTCGAACGTTCGAAAATGAATGTCCCTTTTAAGACGGCTTATACAGGCAGCCCCCGGGTTACGGACAATCCATACTTACGAGCCGGGTCCACAGTTCTCCTAAATGTCCCGGCACTTGCTGAACTGTGGCGCCTCAAATCCCCGCTGCTCTCCGCGGGGACACAGACCGCTGCATTGCTACGCTGCCCCCCCGTACCTCCGCTGCTGTCCCAGCCTCCGGTCCCCTGGTCCGTCGGCTTCTTCTCTGATCCGGCCGCGGCTCCTCTGCCCCGTCCCTCCTGCCTCCTCTTCATCTGCAGGCTGTGAGCCATACCCAGCCTGCTATTGGATATTGTAAAATGCAATAGCCAATAGCAAGCTGGCTATTGCACCCGCCCACTGCCTGCTGTCAATCAGCGCGGGGGGACCTGATGGAGAACTTTCTCCTTCAGGCCCCTCCTTCGCTGAGCCCTGGTTGGGCAAAGTCTTGCACCTGACTTTAGCAAATCAGAGCTTCAGTGGGCATTTTCCATTATGGAATGTCCGCGGTGGAACAAATCGTGAACATCCCATAAAGTTCGGCGTTCGGCGAGCGCTCCAACTGCCGATGTTCGAACACTCGGCTCATCCCTAGATCCCACCAGTAGATCCCACCAGTAGATCCTTTGCTTTTCCTCTTCTTGTAACAAGGTGACAACACTGGTCGTTCTGCAGTGGAATCGCTCAGCAGCGTTGTCACCCTTTGGACAAGAGACTCTTAGGTGGACATATACAGGGTTATTCACAAAAGTGTGAAGAGTTTGGAGAAGTGAACCATCTAGGACAACATCGCTGAGCTGGAATGTGAGCTGAATTGGAGAATGTTTCCAAATCGGCTATTTTGTCCTAGATTATTCACTTCTCCGGCCTTCTCCTCACCCTTTAGGGAATAATCCCCATAGTTTTAAAGTAAGAGACAAAGAAATTAAATCCCAACTCTGTCTAAAAGTTTGGGGTGTATTAATAACCAATTGTCACAACCATTCACCCCGCGACTCTTTCTGAACGTTCCTTCTAGATGCGCAATGAAAAGTTCTCAGATATATTTTCTTTTCAGATCATATGTATGCAACGTAATGCTACATTGTGGCCACTAGATGGTGCTGAAGAGCATAAGAAATAAATACTTATCTCCTGTGCCCCACGGCTCCACCTTGTGGCCAAAATGCATCATTACATTACATACATTCAACCTAAAAAGAAAACATTTTAAAGTAACGCTAAAATCTTAAAGTTAAATCTTAAAAAATACATTAAATTACCTCAACTCTGAACAACAATGTATCTTATTTGTGTATCACTCGGCTGTAGATCCTCCAATCATCTCTGACACTGTCCTTCCTTCTGGAGGGGGGCTACGTCTGTTCCCCATGGTCCCTGTGTGTGTTGTAGAGTAGTCACTGCTCCGAGCTCCGCCCCCGGGATGGTCTACAATCTCAGTTTCAGTTTACTAATTTGTATTGAGATTTTAGTCCATCCCGGGGGCGGAGCTTGCAGCGGTGATTTCTTTATAGCACACACAGGGACAATGAGGAACAGACGTGCCCCCCCCCCCCCCCC